CCCTGCTGTGCCCAGAGAGCTCCCACCAACTCCAGGGCTCTCCCACTCTCTTCCTTAGTTTGGAGCCTCCTCCGAGCAGGGAACAAAGCTGCCGGGCAGGACTCGGGCCTCAGCTTTTCCTGCATAGAACAAGGCTCCCCATCGCTGGCTGACCCTGGCAAACAGCGCCCAGCCCCTGGCCCTGCTGCCGGGGCCAGCGGGCTCGCACAGAGCGCAGCGCTCTCCAGTTACCCTGGGACGCGGCAGGCGAGGCACACAAAGCGAAGCCCAAATGACACCAGCTATTCCAGCAGGTCCAGGCAAGAGGCACAGGCAATCCTCACCTCCTCTTCCGGCTCGCCGCTTCCCAGGGGCTGATATTTCTGCACGAAGCGGAGGAGCGACCTTTTCTGGAGGAGTTTGGTGAAATTCCCTTCGCCCATCCTCGCCGCGCTGCGGAGCGCCCGCGGCTTGGGACCAGCAGGTTGGCACCTGTGGCCACTGGCAAGGCTGGCTCTGGCTCCCCCAGAGCTCGGGGCTACCTGCAGGGACAGAGAGGCACCTGTACCTGCCGCCAAGTCACGCCTTCCCCCGGCCGCCGCAGCCCGAGGGAGGTGCGCGCCCTCCGCGCTGCTCCCATAAAAGCCGGCACACAGCCTGGCCGTGTGTGCCACCGTGCCGGGACACCGGGCACACCTCCGTGTGCCCGACCTGAAGAGCAGGTTGGGGTTTTCCTCCGCCCTCCGGAGGATTGCTGCGGGAGGAGCAGATAGGGAAGGTGTTTGGCCAGGGGCAGGACAGGTTACAGGCACCGCCGAGCCTGTTTGTAAACTTCCAGTCCTCCTTAGGGAATGCTCCAGTCAGCACAACGCCGCGATTTATAAGTGTTTACATCAGGGAGAGGGCATGGATGTGTGCTGTGGGGATTTGTAATGATCATTTGTAAAACCCACAGTGTTTCATTCGTGCTTTCCAACACACAGCTAAGGCTGAACTTCAGTGTCCAGAACTGGACCTCAAAAATCGCTGTAGGTCCCTTCCAGCTCGACATACTCTCTGGTTCTGTGATTCTAGGATTGATAAAGTTCACTGCTTGCATCATTCCCAAAGATTTATGGCTGCCTGTCAGGGAGCATCACGCTCTGCTTTGTCCCATGAGACCGACATCCTCCCCCCCCGCACCGTGACTGCGGGATCCACTTATCCTGAAATCGTCCCTGAGGTGTAAACTGGGACATTAAGATCCTCCTTTGGCAGTAAAAACTGCACCGAGGGAATAAAAGTCAGAGAAAAACGGACTGTGCAGTTTTCTGCAGGAGAAGAGTTTCCTCCAAGGACGATGTCCAGAAAGCTGCACATTGATTTTCCTCTGGCCCGTGATGAGGCCAAGCCCGTAGACCTTTGTGACAACCTGTGGTACCCAAAACCTGGCCAGCCCTCACCAAAGCCTTCCCAAGCTATAGGAGGGTGCCCACCGAGGTGCTGCGGAGGGAGGGGATTCTCCCCAGACTGAGGGGAAAACAGGGATTGGGAAACACCCCGCAAGGAGCCGGGACCTTGTAAAACACAGCTGGGGCTTCCCGGCTCCCTGGGTTGAGCAATCCTTTCGCAAGGACCCGAGCTGGATGCGTCAGGCAGATGGAGGAAGTTCCTGCATCACCGAAACAGCGCTCCTTCCCATGGGAAAGCAGCCAGGGAGAATGCTGGCCTCTGATTTTCGGGAATCTCACATCCAAGCCCTGCCCAGGGTTTAGGTAAAGGCTTGGAGCAGATCCAGAGGGATTTGGATTTTATTGTACGGGAATCAGGAGGTGAAAACCCTCTGAGCTCATGCTCTTGCACTGGTCCCCACCTTGTGCAGCTCTTCCCAGGAGCTGGAGCACATCCAGCTGGCCCTGCCAGCTCCTGACAAGGCACAGCAGCACAGCCTGGCAGGGAATCCCTTCCCCTGCCCACCTGAGCATGTCTGTAGCCACCACAATCCTAAGATCACTCCAAATCCTCGTGTTTCTGCCAGAAAAGTGGTGGACAACATCTTCCCCCTCTCTAGGCAGCTAGGAAGAAAATTTCCCCTTGGTTTTGCTTTTCTCACCCCAAATCCTCACCTATCATCATGATGAAGCTGCTGCCCAGGAGGAGCATCCAGGGGCTGTGCTGTGCACGGTGTGCCCATGGCCTGGGCAGCCCCAGCGTGGCCCTCATTAGCCACGGTGGCTAATTGAGCAACAGGCTGCTCCTTTCCTTATTTAGCATCATCCCCTTGGCACACACCTGCTGCTTGTAGAGACACATGGAGCTCCGAGAGCAAAATCCAGAATGCACAGGACGGCCAAGAGGCCACACCCTGGGTTAGGGAGGGGGAACGCTGCCCTGAGTGGGACTGACAGAAATTCCAGGACAAACAGGACACAGAAAAGGAGAAAAATGAGTATAATAATGCACTGTAACAATCAGTGCAGGATGGTTGATTAATTATCCTCCCTGGCAGCTGGGGAGGAGCAGAGTGGTTTGGGCTCTCTCTCTCATCTTTGTGTTCCCTCAGTTCTGTTATGGGAAATTATATTTGATGAGATGGAATAAATGCAGGAAAAAATGTTGCTGTTTGCCACTCACTCTGAGAAATTGCTGAACGGACTCAAGCTTCATTTTCTTGCTGCTGTTGATTTCTGCATGTTAGGAAATCTAATGAAAAATTAATGCATTTTGCTCAGAAATGGCTCAGAAAACGCTGGGAATAGAATGAATCAGGACTATAATGTTAAGAAAACAACACTAATACAAGTTGTATTTCTTCACTCTATCATTTTCACACTCTAAAAAAACATAACACACAGCCCAATTACAGTGCCCTAAGAGTATTTCCTATTTAATTGGGTAATAAAGCTCAATTTCTAAGGAGATTATTTGGAAAACCTTTTTTTTTCTGGCTTTTAAATAGAAAATATCTGTTATAAAGACACACACAGCAAAGGAACCATTCTCTGAGACCCCCTAAGCCCCAAAATATGATGCTGTGAGTTCAAAACTCACAGCTCCTTCATCTGCTCCCCTGCCTGCCAGAACTGGGGCTTGTTGCACTTTTGTTCCTCTTGTGCCACCTTGAGGGAAAAAAAACTCTGCTGCGTGGGTAGAATGGAGTTTGCTGAAAAAATCCAAACACTTCACTTTTGGGTTGGGATTTTCCTGGGCAGAACTTCTGCTGCTCCTGGCTGTACAAGCAAGGAACAGAGTTTAGAGCCACGGTCCTTTTCCATCTTGTCCCATAAAGGCTGAGTAAAATCCTTGGGTCTGTCCCCAGGTGTGTAATGGGGAAGGAACAGGGAATTTAAGGACAGCTTTTGGTTTCTTTTTGCACAGTTTCCATTACTTAAATTGGGAGATTCACCTGGTGGGGGGCTCAGGCTGGGTGGAACGAGGTGGAAACTCTCTAAAGATCTTTTTTGTTTTGCACAGCTTCTCTTGCTGTTTTGCCTGCATGGAAAAGCAACAGGGAGAAAATAATGGGAAGAAGTAGGATTTTAATTTTTTTTTATTTTTAGTTTACCATTAAAGGATCCTAAATGATGCTGTAAATCCTTCTGCCGTAGAGAGACAATCAATGCTCATCCAGTGCCACATCCAGAGGAGAATCCAGCCTGTGCAGCCAGTGTGAGGTGGGAGAAGAAAATAACCCTGTATGAACCAATCCCTGCTGTGTCACGAGCAAAGAGAAACCTACAGCCTCCAAAAACTCTTTCATGGATTGTCCAAACCTCAGAGGCTTCTTCACTGCTCAGCAAACTATGGAAAACTTCCTGGAGGTGACCAAGACACTCCAATAGCACAAAGCTCTGAACCAGGCACGCCAGAAATACAGTGTATTATTAAATATTTTGTATTATTCTGGTAGTAGGAATAGAGTTCTTGAAGATCTATTTTGCTAGTCCTTCTGTTGATCCAGCTGTTGGTTTCTGGGATGCACTGACAGCACTTCAGTGTCATTCCAGATGCTGCCTCAGGTCATGCTGGGCTTTTTCCACAAAGATCTCTCCCAAACTACAGTAGCAGAAACTGTATTTGCTTGCATTGGGGTGGAAATGAGCTGAAATTAAACCATGATTTCGGGGTGCTCACCAAACTAATCACTCTCTTGCAAGCTGAGGTTCTGGGTTCCTGTCACACTTCCCAGCAGGAGACAGGAGTTATGTGCACACCCCTGGAAACCTCCTCATCCAAACATGGAGTGATCCCAAGGATCCCAATGACCATGAAAGATCCAAGTGATCCCAAGGACCATGAGAGGCCCAAGTGATGGCAGCTTCACTGGCACAGTGAGGATCTACCCTGACCCTTGGTGCTGGCTGGGGCCATCCCAACCCCCCCAAACCTTTCCCAAGTGCCAGCCCTGCTGTGCCCCGTGGCTGAGCTGCAGCAGCTCCTGCCCCTGCTGTGGTTCCAGGGCAGGAGGGAGGCAGTGCAGGATCCTGAAGAGCAGGTAGAGCAGGACTGGAGGGTGGAGCAGGTGGGATGGTGGAGTCTGGGAACAGCCCAGCCCCTCTCCTCTGCCAGCTCTGCCCTGCAGTGGGCACAGCCCAGCTCTGACCTCACCTTGGCTGGTTTCTGCACCCTCTGAGCCGCCTGCAAAGCTGCCTGAGCAGTGCTGGTGCAGCCCAGAGCGGCTGAGCTGCAGCTCCAGCACTGACCCATGCTGGGCAGACAAAGGGTCCCTTCTCCTGGGACACCACCCCAGCCTCCCAGGGCTGTCCCCCAGCTCCTCTGCGGGCACTGCAAATGCAGGGGCCGAGAACTGAGGGTCTGACCCACAGCAGTGGCCCCTCTGGAAGGGGACAGGGGTGCTGGATGTGTTTTGGGGTCTCCCTTCCAGTGGACAAAATGACTTTAGTCTCCCTACGCTTGTGTTATGTTCTCGCAACAACAAAAATTTAGAAATTTGTCCTTTTTTTTCCCGTAATCCAAAGGTGAAAGTTCATCAAGAAGACACAACAGAAACTCGGCAGAGTTGAAAAACAGACTGGTCACTTTTTATTGAGCACCAAAGCAGAACCTGAACGTGTGTGAGCACCGGGGAGGGGCTGCCTGGGGCTGCACGGACCCTGGGGGATGTGGGAGGCATTGTCAGCACTCAGTGACACGCAGGAAGGTTATCATAGCACCAAACATGCTGCAAAGTGTTCATGGAAATGTTAAAAACAACCGACACCAGGCATTTCCTACTGTGCTGCACCAGGCTGCTGGTAAAGCATCTGTCTTTGGAGAGAAGAGCAGCTGAGGACAGCTCACCTGCTCTGTTCTTCATTTCAGTGTCTGAGATTCACATTTCAGTGCTCAGCGTTTCACTGTTGGAAACACAGCACTTTGACAAGTCCCTTCTGTGGCTTTTGTTTCTGAGTTTGACAATTAATAGCTTGAATTCACTTGGAAAAAACCCCCTGAGCATTATAGCACCACGAAGAAGGGTGATGGCTGTGAAACACCCAGTAAACAGAAATTCATCATCAAATTATTAATTTGACAATTTTCTTCTTTTAAAAATTACTTTTGCAAGCAGAAAATACGTGTACTGTCCCACCCAGGTGGTCAGGTATGTGTTTCTGCAGCTACAAAGAAAATAAACACTGAAGTGAATGTGTCCACTCAAATTAAGCATATTTTTGGGCTGCTTTGAGAGATTAGGTTGAGATTTGAAGTTTTAATCTTTCAAATGTGTGAATGCTCAACACCAGTTTTTCAACTGGCTCCTCACAAGGTTTTAGGAAGTTTTTAGATTAAAATATAACATTTTGGCATTTACTCTTCGGGGCTTAGCAGTGATCACTGGAGGGCTTTGCTCATTTAATCAGAATTCGATATTTTTCTGCAAAAAGTCATGCTGAACAAAATCAATCCATTTCACTGAGCAGCACCAAGGAGTGAGGCTGCAGTAGGATAAGTGGCAAGCTTCTGGTTTAAACACAGATTGGAACTATAAAATATGGATTGGAGCGTGGAAAACCTGGTCTAGTGGAAGGTGATGAGCTTTAAACTCCCTCCCAACCCAAACCATTCCACAATTCTCTGTTTCTGTGGCTCCTGTGTCCAAGCAGGAATTAAGATCTCATTGCAGGAAGCTGTATAGGATAAAATTCTAGAAATAGCTGTCCAAACATGGTGCTGCATTTAATATCTTGCACTTGGAAAAAAAAAAAGAGTTCAACAAGTGAAGATATTTAGGAAAATGTGGAGCCCTTCAGCTGTTCCTTTGCTCTGTAAAGCACCCAGGACTGTGTTTAAATGGGAACCAGAAGAGCAGTTTGGCACCTTCCATCTCTCCAGCTGCAAATGTCATGTGCAAAGTATCAAGAGTTTTATAGGTGTCTTGGATCTGGCTGAAACCATTTAGTGAGTGGAAAAGCAAATCCTGTATTTTGTGAGTGGAAGCAGGCACTTGCATTTGTGAATTGGGTATTTCTAGGCAGTGCTACTACTGTGCAAATTAAAATGCTAATTTCATGCATGCAGATGGGAACGTGGACTGAACCATAGAGCAAATGTGACTTTTGTGCCAAACAATTCTGGCTGATTTGTCACAATAAATGCAACCGTTCCTTCAGGACTGCCACGGGAAAGGAATAATAGAAAATGTATTTTCCATTGGATAATGCTAAACAGCTAAAAGAAGCTGTGAGGCCCAAATAGAAATATCCAGACCTTAAGGGTTAAAGGAAGGCAACACAAAGGTACAGGACTCCTGAGGAGCATGGCCCATCTGCCAGACAATCCTTCTCATCACACCAATTTATCCTGGGTTTGCTTTTCCAACACATTTCACAGATTATCCAGACTTCAGGCCTCTGGCTGAGATTTTGCAGGTACAAAACCACAGATTTTGTGAGTATTAACTGTGCTGGCTAAAAACAGCACATTACAAAGCCTGGCATGCATTTGTGTGTCTGCTGGATCTTGTAGGGAGGAATCTATTCCATTATTAACCCTCAATCTGCAGCTCACCAGACTGAGAAGAGGAAAGTAACCTAAAAACATTTATAAAGCTGGTTTTTGCTCCTAGATTAAACCTCCTCAAATTCTTAAGACTTCGAGTTTAGCCATTTAGAGTGGGTGTCAAGCCTGGTTTTTATCTGGATATAAATAGGAAAAGAAGAAACTTGCAGGTTTATTTGAATTTTAAGCTGATGAAAAGGCTTCTTTAAAGGAGTTGTTCAAGACAGGCGGGCACTGGATTTGATCCAGAGAACCTCTTTAGTCTCACCTATTTTAAAGCAACTTAGATATGATATTTAGGTAGAATTCTGACGTCACTGGGTTGTGTTCCCAGGCCTGAAATCTGAATTGGTCACACAACGAGCACGTACAGGGCAGGCTCTGTGTCAGCAGCCTGGTCATGGCACTGTGGCTTGCAGGGATCCCTTGGAGCTGTTTGCATTTCATTTGTAGGAGGGCAGCTGATAAGCAGTGATTTCCTTCAGGGGATGACCTTCCTCCCCTTCCTGGTGGGGTTAAAATCTGGACTCATCCTGCTCCTTGGGTAATGGAATTTTTTTTTGCCAGTGATGGGCAGGGATCAGGGGGATGCTGGAGATGTGCTTGTGGAGATCTGGGACCAGAAAGCTGCTGGGTAAAGCATTCCTTGGCAGAGTGGTCCAGCTGGGTGAAAACCAAACAACAGAAGGAAAAAAAAAAACCAAGAGGAATTAAAATATTTATCCTTCCTGGATGTTTGCACAGAACTTGTCCTTAAGTAGCTGAGTAATCTTAACAGCCAGCCTGACGTAGGTACAGAGACACACTGAACTGCTTTGTTTTCATAATTCCCAGCTAAGCCCAAGTTAATCTTAAAGTGAAGCTTTAAGCTTTTTTTTTTTTTTTTCTAAAGTGTTCAGAAAACCATCTTGGGACAGAACTTTTGGTGCAATAAATATTTTAATTCTTGACTAAAGCTGGCAAAACGGATGGAGCTTTTGCTGTTGGCTTGGCTCTGGCCAGATAAATGCTCACATGAGTGGGTCCCACTGCTCAGCACACGTGTTCACACACATAAAATTATCCCACAAAACCCCCATGCGCTGAGGTATTTGCAAGACTGACCCTTTTTTCAGCCAGTCCAGAATAAACAGCTTTTCAGTTTGTCTGGCAGGACCAGTTACACCTGTGTTAGAAGAAGCCCCTAAATACAAAGTTCAAAGTCTTAAGGATCACCAATTATTTTCCATCCTAAAAATCACTCCATCCTCTAAATACCCACGATCAAAGGTTCTGCAAAGGAATCAGGTGTGTCTGGTGGAATGAGAGTGTTCCATACACCTGTACAGGGTTTTAAGGTGCTGTCCTTACTCCAGCATTTTGCTTAGAGGAAATTTCACTCTCGGACAATGGTTTCTCTGAACAATTGCATTCTAAGCACCAGCTATTTCCACCCAGCTCTCCCTTTATTCACAGGGCACTTACCCAGGCACACCTTCAATTAGCCTAAATGTTTCTGCTGGTTTTTCACATAGCCCACCAAGTTGTTGGAATTGCTCCCTGTAAAACAAGTATCAGCAAAGTCAGGTTTTAGGCTAGGCTGTGGCACATGCTTTCAGGTGCTCTCAGCAGTGCAGTTTTATTGGTCTCATTATCTAGCAGTTCTCTTGGAGAGCTGGGGTAGCCCACACTGGAGGAGAGGAAAGGAAATCCTCTCTTGGTTTTGTCAGCCCAAGTGGCCAAATTTGGCTGTTTGTAAATCTTATATCAAAGATGCTGTCTCGTTAAACCTGAATGTCACTTCCAATCTGATCCACACCCAAGCGGGAGAAACCAGGAGCTTTGAAGCTGTGAGGAAAGATGTGGGAGATGCTCCTGCTTTCTTTGAGCCCCAGATTTGTGAGAGGGACCTGGCACCTCTCAGGGAACACTGAGGGACTGATTCACTGGGCTCCAGCCATCCCTTATCTCTCACCACAGCCCTAAACCTGCTTTTGACAGAGCTCCGTGTTCAGCTGCAAGGAGTCCTGGGCCAAGAGCAAAGCTCAAAAACTATGCTTAAAATAAAATAAAAAAGATTATTGGACTGTGTGGTTCCTCTGGCAGAAGACTGCACCATTTAGCTCATTCTGTCACAGCTGAAAATTCTGGTTCTCAAGAGTCCACAGTCAGGACATTGTAGATCTTATTTTAAGGTCTTCAAGGCATAAAGAGTTGACAATAAAAAAATCTCTTTTTTCTATGTACAAACCTTCATTTCATAAGGAGCAAATTCCTTGTAAGCATTGCAAGAATTATAAAGCTCAATAATAACAACAAACACTTCATGCCAGCAGCTTACCAAAATATTCCTTGTAATACTTATGCCTCAGGTTGTGTCCATCTGGAAAAGAAGGTACATGGTGAGAACATACCCAGTCAGCCTTCATTTCTTGTGTTAAACTCTGACCTTCTGTGCACAGCACAGAGAAATTAGAGATATGGAAATAATAACCTCACAATGAGGAAAATGAAGTCCTCTGTAGCCTAAGTGATTAGGGTTGCTATAAACCTCTTATAAAGTGCTGAGATTACTGAGCTCTGTGGACACAACTCACTAGCCATAAGAGTGGGAATTGCCACAAGCATTTTATAACCTTTTCAGTAGCTACAGGTCAAGGAATCAGAGGCTTTCCCAAATGAAATAAAATTTGGGTAATATTTCAAACCATCTATTAGTATTTCATATAATTCAGGTTCCAGCTAGGTTGTTCTGTTTGCCATTTATATAATTATTGAAGCTCTTAGAAATATTTCATGTCTAAGATCCCCAAAGTTCTACATTACACTGGTTACTATGGATGTTATTAAAGAAAAGGTTATAAAAAAGATGATCCAAAAGCCCTGGAAAAACTCTTCATCTGTTTTGGAAGCAGCTCAGAGACCTGGTTTGATACTTCCCCTGGTTTTTACAGTGACTAAATGGCAAAACTGATGTCTCACATCTCTCCACTGAGGTGATTTGTTGCCCAGTGCCAATGTACATACCCTACCATTCAATGAATATCTAAATATGTTATGAGCTTTCCTGGAAAATATTTTGGCATGTATGAAATTCTTTTTTGGGCAAATGCGTCAGCAGAATAAAGGCAACAAAGTTTTGGATGCAGAAAGCAAAGTCAGAAGACAAAACTGGAAGTTAAAACTCAGATTTCTCATTGAAGTGTGCAGTAACATAAATATTTCTAATTTTTGTGCTGTGTAGTAACAGCACGTGTAGACAAAACACCAGAGGACACTGGCACGGAGTGTCCTGGTCATGCCTTAAGTTTTAGCTTTCATATTTTTTAGGTTCTGTACTGCCTTAGTGTGTGACTCTGAACTTAAAATGAAGTGTTAGCAAGTTCTCTTCTGAGTTTAGTTAGACAAAAAAAAAAATGCTTTTCTAGCTTAAGAACCACGGACACCACTGCATTTTCAAGTCCAGAAAGTGCAAACAGCAGCGACTTGAGGAGAGAATCTGGGAGGATGGGACTGCAGAACCTGGAGCTGGAATTGGACAATTAACCCAATATGGAAAATAGACCAAAACTTATAAAAGTGTGAAAACTCATGACTCGGGGTCCCTCTTGGGTCCATTTTGGGTGTAACTATGTTGTGTTCTTGCACTGCCCAAGGTGAATCCTTTGAAAGCCTTTTAATAAATCCCCACGTTATTCCTTTAACCCTGCCCACCCTCTGTTCCAGGTCAGCCTCTCCAGGTGTCACTGGTCCCTGTTCCCCTGTTCCCCTGGTTCTGCCCTGTGGCCTCAGCACACACAGAAGGGGCAGGGAGGTGCAGGCACTCACCTGGGTTTCCTCTCTGCTTGATGCACTGACCCCTGTTGGGGATGCCCTCGGCCGTGTTGCCAGGGCTGATGATGTGGCACTCGTAGCCCGTGGGGCAGTGCAGGGGCTCGTCCCCATCCTCCGTGGTGCTGCAAGCCTCGGCTGCAAGACAAGCTGCAGGTCACCAACCTCAGCTCTGACAACTAGGCTTTCAGTTTTAGCTTTCATATTTTCCAGATTCTGCACTGCATTGGTGTGTGACTCTGAATTTCATATCAAGTGTTACGAGTTCTCCTCCCAGCTCACACAAAACAATCCTTTTCCAGCCCCACAACCAAGGATCTGCTGCATCTTCAGCCCCAAAAAGTGCAAACAGCAGCGACTGGAGGAGAGAATCTGGGAGGATGGGACTGCAGAACCTGGAGCTGGACTTGGACAATTAACCCCAGTATGGAAAATGGACCAAAACTTATAAAAGTGTGAGAACTCATGACCTGAGTCCATCCTAGGTGTAGCCATGCTGGGCTCTTGCACTGCCCAAGGTGAATCCTTTGAAGGCTTTTCAATAAATCCCCACTTTATTCCTTGTACATTGTCCAGCCTCTGTTCCAGGTCAGCCTCTTTAG